TCCTCTTTTTTGCTCGCTGAAATATGGTAACCCTAACAGACATCCACGTTGCAAGCTGCACCCATCCTGACTTCACAGATGAGCTTAGGCTGAAATGAGAACTGCGCACAGGACAATGCTTAGAACACCATCCAGTGCCTCATAAAATGGGCAGCTCTCGGATGGCATGGGGTTTGGAACTGTTATTCTTGGCCCTCCAACCTTGAGCCCATTCATCTTCTCCCTGCTCCATTGTCTGGTCCAGTTGATCCCATGATTGGCCAACAGTTTTGGGGCTATGGCATCTTACAGGTGGGCAGTTCTCACTCCAGGGCAAAGGTCAACCAAGGTTTTAGTATCATCCTCTGGCCAGGTGGCAGTATGCCTGGCAAGCATTCTTCTCACAGCTGTGTTGGAGACCAGAGATGACAAAGTTGAAGGTACTTCAAACAGTGTGGGTCCAAAGATGTTGAGTAGACCTATAGGAAAGTAGCCAACTTCCAGGTAGGGGACAGAGCAAAGGTAGATGGCAAGATAGAGCATAGGATAAGGTGCTCTGGGGACTTCTGGCAAGGGATTGGTGGACCATTATCGATTGTTGTGACTGGTCGTAGCTGCACATTTTCACTGCAGACATTTAAAGTTAGCAAAAAGCAGCAAGCTAACATGTGGCTTAGCCCATACCTCAAAACATTGCCAAAACCGTAAGGCAAGATTATGATATAACTGGAGGGTGTTGGTGTCTGACTATGGAGTGTGTTAATAAGAAAACTTGTGGTTCACAACAAGTTAATTCTCTAGAGAAGACAAAGCCCAGGTTACAATGTGGAGTATGACCACTACCTTTTGGCCAACAAGTGAAAAAACTTGGAGCAATGCTGAGTGATCACATCATACATTTAATGACTAAAGCTTAGCTGTAATCATTTACACAGCCAGTCAAGAAAGCATGGAAAATATAAATTAAAATTCAAGTTCTTCTAATTATAATTCAGGAAATCTCCTTGCCTTTGAATAGTTAAGATTAATATGAGGATTAGGCCTGCACATGAAGGAATGTAAAGCCTTGTCTGAATTTTCTTAATTTGGTACTGTAGATCCCTACCAGTTTTGAAGTGTTTTTTTTTTTACATCATTGTCATATGTTAGGATATAATCTATACATTCGTTTTATTTAGTCATTCAGTAATCATGTGTGTCATAACTAATTGTAACAACCATGCGACATTGGAAATAAAGGCTCTGCACATTGTTTTATGGTTTAACAAATGACTGCAACTTTTATTAGTTTATTCAAAAACCTGCAATAAGAATATTAATATAACCAAAAGCATGCCCTTCTTTTTATCCATCAGTAAAAGTCGAACAATGCAACCCTTTTGCTCTCCAGCCACAACAGGCTCAGAACCAAATTGGATACAAGTTACTCTTCCAGATAACATTGGGATTTGGTACAGACTAAAATTCTCAAATCTGATTTGTCCAGGGGTATGCCTACCTCTCTGCTCAATGTTAAAGTACATCTCCTCATCCAAATGCTCACCACATAACATGGCCTCACTCCTGCCTCTGTACAGGAGTTTAGGATAACATCTGGGCAGGATTATGCACTATAATTTCAATCGACCACCTGCCAAGTAATCCTGAATTACTCAGATCAGCTCTCAATACGAGATAATTTCTGACTTTGGATCTCTTATCCACTCTGAATAGCCTTCATCTTAACAAGACCTACTCTATTCCTTTGCAACAGACCAGTCTTGCCTAAATGAATGACACCTATGAGAAAGGCCCAGCCCAGTCACATGGAAATACACTGTTGGCATCAGCTGGATGCAAAAAACATAAATACCTTGTCAACAAACAACTGCTAAAGCACTCCAAAACCAAGGCCAATGAAAGCAATAACTTTTTTTAAAATGGCAACAAATTGATAGCCAAGAAACAACCATCCTCATAGAGAAAAAGGGTGATTTGGTGACCTGGATGAATGAAGGATATTTACTGTATGGATTTTCTCATTTGCAAACTTCTGTGGCACAGTCTTGGCTCCCTGATCCATTTAATGTCTCCTGGAAAACCAGAGAGAATCACAGCCCTACATACCCACTTAAGGATCCTCGCTGGTGGGACCCAACTTGACCGGCCCCAGAAGCACCAAAAGACTTGACTTTATCTGAACACAAAAAATGCAGTCATAAGTGATGATTTAAAAACTGATTCTATTCAGAATCATTAGCTCAAATATTCTGAAGAGCAGACAGCAAGGGCCACACCATCTCAACTGTGATTGGACAGCAAGGGTTTATCCAATGGGCTTTGATAATGTTCATCCCTCTAGGAGCTTGAATACCTGAAAACTCTTACACAGGTTGCGGAAACAGATAGGCACAAAATGAAATGCCAGTCTGGTGGGACAATACTATAGATAGTGATAGAATCTTCACTGTACTGACTTTACTGAAAACTGCATCACCTGCTCTTCTGGTATGGACCACAACAGGAGAAAATCTGGTGGCACTCTGAACACCATGAACTCAGAAAACCTGCTATGTCGATTGTTCTAGTCCTAGCTATAATCTCTCTCTCTCTCTCTCTCATTTGGTATCTGACACAGAGGCAGTTAATAGAGACCTTCATTGCTTTTACTCAGAGATTGCTCTGCTTTCTCCCCAGCCAGATCTAGGCCACTATAATGGCTATATAGCATATGGTGGTGTGGGATATATTGGGGTTTAGCACTGGCAGTTCTTGCTCCTCATCTTGTCCTTGCTGCTCTGTTTTGTCTGTTCTTGCCTCCAGTCCCCCCCAAAGGTTTCTGGGGCAATTTGAAAGTAAGGAAAGGTAGGGAACTGCATGACTAGCCTTGTAGCCCACAGTTCTCTGATCACATTTAGGCAACCAGTGCTAGGGTTACCATATTTAACAAATAAAAAAAGAGGACCCTCCACGGGGCCCTGGCCCTGCCCATTTCCCACCCCCGGCCCCGTCCATTTCCCCACCCCCAGCCCCCCTCCAACCCCGCCCCTTCCCCGCCCTAACTCCTTCCTCCCACTCCCAGCCACGCGAAAAGGGCTGCCCGA